GAGAGCTGGGTCACCGGCTGGGGGAACATCGGCCAAGGAAGTCAGTCAGCGCTACTAGTTGGCCTCTTTGTTTTACTCACGAAAAGTCACTTTAAAATTCATTGAAAACTGAACATTGTCTGTGATATTTAAAAAAACAAGTGACTATTTTGCAGACTTTAATTTTCTTCGATGCTTTCAAAATCCAAAATATAAGTACCGGTATAGTAGTTTTTTTCTGAAGACTTGAATGATCTGGATTTCAAATGGTATGGTAGGTTTGTTGAAACTGTCGTCAAGGTTTACAGGAAACATTGACTGTGTTAGCCACAAGTGCATGAAGTTAGTTGACACGTGAATTGAATATAAAATACAAAAGCTCTGTTGAGAATTGTTGTCGACCTACTCCCAAAACATCTGTTACCTGGACTTTCCCCTGGATGAAAAATTCCCTTTTGACTTTTCTGATGCGTCTACCCCCTAAAAAAAAAAAAAAAAAAAAAAGACTGCTTAAAAATCTACAATGCAACGGGGACACTGTACACCCAACTTGCCTGTTCATGACACACTTCTAGTGTTGCTGTTTGTGTGCAGTTCCTCTACCGCCACCGCAGAACCTTATGGAAGTTCAGGTTCCTGTGGTCGGGGAACGCCAATGCGATTGCTACTATGGCGGAGGAGTCATCACCGACAATATGATTTGTGCCGGGCTGAGTGAGGGTGGAAAGGACGCCTGTCAGGTGACAAACAAATTCACATGCACATATAGGATCAGGAATATATCAGGAAAAACCTAAAGGAACCTGTTGTACAGATTTTAAGGTTGGGTCCCCATTTGTATTACCGGTGAGAGCTGGAGCAGCAGAAAAACAAAAACAGTGAAACATATGTCATTTGAGCAAGGCAAAGCCACCAACACCATTTCGGAAATGGCTTGACTGATGAGTCAAAGATTTCCGACATGCCTGTGAGAAGATTTTGGTCACGATTTCAACTGAAGACAGTGGCAGTCAAGCACTTTTGCCAACCTCGTGGAAAATACCTCAGCGAATGTTTCTAAAAATTTGAAGCAGTCTACAATCCAACCAGATGACTCACTTAATTGATTAATTAGTGTCTGTCGACGTCACCAAAGCAGAAGTGATTCGTCTCATACGAAGGCCTTGCCGTTCCACAGGGTGATTCTGGCGGTCCCATGATGAGCAAGCAAGGATCTGTGTGGGTGCTGAGCGGGCTCGTGAGCTTTGGGAGAGGTTGCGCTTTGCCAAAATTTCCGTTCGTTTACACGCGGGTGTCCAGGTACGAGGCATGGA